GTTTTTGTTATTGAGTTTTTCTTCACTGCTTTGTTTCTATTTCTGCCAAGGTTTTTGGTTTTGTTTTGTCTCCACCTTTCCCACTGGCACCCTTTTCTACTGCCTGGTGATCCTTGGCTATTGCTCCTCATTGGAGAGTGAGGCACTGAAAAGCGAATGGAAGCTCCTGGAGGAGGTTTTTCAAACTGCTGCCTTTGCTGTGACAGTCCAACTTTTTGGTTGATGTTTTTGTTGGAAGACTCTTGATATCTATGGGACTGTTTCGTTGATCCAGAAAAGACTTCCAGTTTCCTGCTTGGGATGGGGAGTGGGAATGTGTGTTCTGGGAGGCAGGTGGGATATGAGGGCCACGGGTCCTGCTAAAGCCTTAAAGACTTTTGTCTCCCCGTTTCCAAACTTGCACCTCACCCCTACCTAGGTTTAATTTCTGGAAAAAACAGAACCTCAGAGTTACATGTTTATCAGGAACTAACCCCAGAGGAGTGAGAGAGAATAGCCTGTGGACAGTTAATACTAAGGAATAACTACTGTAAATGATGAAACCTCCAGTTTTCAAGATTTGTTAATCCTAATTTAGTTACAGCAATTGGTAGGCAATCCCACACGCATTTGGCAAAAGTCTCTGGGCCGAGGCCAGTACCAGTCCGTGGCCTTAGGAACACAGGGCTGCGCATCACCGCCTGAGCTCTACCTCCCTGCCCCGCTGCATGAAACCAGTCCCTGGTGCCAGAAAGGTTGGGGACTGCTGATCCAGATGGTAGAATAACTTAGAGCATGTCTTTGAGGATGTGGGCCCTCCACCACCACCCTCCAACCCCCTGCCCTGTGAGGGCTATGAGGGAGCGTGGTCCCTGGCTGTGCGGGTGGGAGCTCCGGATCTCGCTGCTCCATGTTCCCAGTTCTCCCAGTCTCCCTGTGGCCCGCTGCACTGGGCTTCACCCCCGCCTCTCGCAGCCGGGTGTCCTTCGTGGGGCTCTGACAGGTGAATTGGCTTACTCTTCAGAGCAGGCTGTTAGATTCATCTTCCTTCACTCACTGTCCATTTTCCTGGGACTTGGGGGCATCTCTTGTTTGCTGTCTCTCCTCTCTTCATTCTTTTGGTATTTATAGGTTTAATCCTTTTATATTCCTTTATGCTCTTTTTAGAGATACAGTTGACCCTCAGAGAACAGGTTTGAACAGTATAGATCGACTTATACACAGATTTTGTGCAATAAATACATTGGAAAATTTTTTGGAGATTTGCAACAATTTGAAATATCTTGAGAACTGTGTAGCCTAGAAATATGAAAAAAATCAAAAAGATATGTCAACAAATACATAAAATATATATAGATACTAGTCTATTTTATCATTACTATAAAATATACACAGATCTATTATAAAAAATTAAAATTTATCAAAACAATGCACACCACCACTTACTGCACAATTCACAGTTGAGAGAAGTATAAACAAATGTAAAGATGCAGTATTAAGTCATAACTACATAAAATTAACTTTAGGTACTATGTTCTGTACTAATGTAATAATTTCATGGCCACCTCCTGTTGCTGTTGTGGTGAGTTCAAGAGTTGCAAATACCTCTTTCAAACGCCTTGTGATGCTAAGCATCTCTATGTGAGCAGTTTGTCTTTCCAGTGAATTGCGTATTGCAGTACAAAGTGGTCTCATGGTTCTTGTGTATTTTTTTTTTAATCATATTTAGTGCAATACTCTAAGCCTCCAGTAACACCATTGGACCCATACAGAGTGCCACTAGTGATGCTGGAAGTGCTCCCAAGAAAGAGAGAAAAGTCATGACATTACAAAAGAAATTTGAATTTGCTGATACATATTATAGATTGACATCTGTAGCTGTGGGTGCCGGCCATTTCAGAAGGACAGTTCACCTTGTAAACAGAAGATACAAACTTAGGATATTGATTAATACAGTACAATACTGTCAGTGTGTTTTCTCTTATGATTTTCTTAATAACATTTTCTTTAGCTTACTTTATTGTAAGAGAACATAGCATATAATGCATATGACATACAAAATGTGTTAATTGACTGTTATCAGTAAGGTTTCCAAGTCAATAGTAGAGTAGTATTTAGTTTTGGGGGAGTCAAAAGTTATTGTGGGTTTTTGACTTCGCAGTGGTTGGTGTCCCAACCCCCGAGTTGTTCAAGTGTCAACTATATTTGACCTATTCAGCCATAGGTCTCCAGTTTATATTCTAAGAATAGCATTTTTGCTACAATGTCAAGAACGAAATTGTGGAAAGAAACATGGAATTCTGCAAGGAGACCCGTAGGGGGCTGTGGCATAACCAGTGGGACCAGAAAGAAAGATCCAGATACACAGTAGATGAGACTGGCAGCACGAAGGCCGTCTGCGGGCCAGAGAAAGGAACAGCACCTGTTTAGACTCTTCTTACCTAATTCCGGAAAACAACGTGTAAAGCCAAATTGATGGTTCAGTGCATTGTCATTCTTGGAAATGAAGGAACCTTCCAGAATTGTGGTTTTTCATGTTCATTGTCAAAAACCTGAAAGTTATAAACAGATGAAATGGAAATTGTATATATATATACTTGCAACAAAAATATATAAAATCTCTGTTAAAATTATTACCTAGCTTTCCATCACATGGAAGACAATAATGATTTATGAGTCCCCAATTATGGAGCATGTAGATTGATGGTTTCCTCGCTGTGGCAGAGCCTTCCTTACACAGTAGTGTCCTCGGGTGCAGTCACAGGCTGGTGGCGTGCACAGTTACTTGATTCACGTTATAAAGGCTGGCCTTGGTGAGACAGGAAGAATGGCTTCTTGGAGCCTGGAAGCATGTTCTGAAGCTCCGTGGCAGGTTCTTGTTACTGGTGGGACAGACACACAAGGAGTGAGTGCCCCAACAGAATTGTGAAATGACTGTCTTTGTTTCAGGCTTTTAGTCTTGCAAAGAATTTTTCTAAACCTTTCATCACCTTTTTGAATCCTCTGACTGCACTCACTCATCACCTTGTAGACCTGCGGTTTGCACCCAAGAATCAGCCCTTCTGGAAGATGAGCAGCTAGGACACTTTGGGCAGGAAGTTCATTAGACTAATATTGTTGTGACCCACATAAGGAGCAGAGTAAAAAGAGAGAAATAATCATGGTCGTCCAAAATTGCAGCGCGCATTTCTGTCAGTGTAGTTTTTATCTGGCCAGTCCCTCGAGGGCTTGAAGGAGTCCTAGAACCAGTCACTTCCTGCCTTTTCCCAGCAAGCCTCAGATTATGCCTTTCCTTTAGGTCATTTAAAGCAAGAGTCTGAGGTTTGCTTTCCTGTAGTTGATGGTAGGCAGCAGAAGAGGTATGTAAAATTCCACCTAGTAAGTATCCACTGCCGTCGCCTGTGGTGGCCCCACCGCACCCGGTTCCTCTGGGCACACAGAGAGGTCAGAGTCGGTGGTCACCCTCCTAGATTAGGGAGGCTCAGTCCCCCCCTTCCCTTTTTTAAAAAAACATAACAGCTTTTTCTAATTAATTGTAAAATTTGGCAGTAATTTCTGCGGGTAATTGCATGTGTGTATCGCACAAGTGGATCATAAATGCTGTGGGAAGCAGCGTCAGAAACGGTAGCGGCATGTTGAGGGCGTGGTAATTCCCTTCTAATTCCTGCTCTGAGACCGACCCCGCAGGCGTCCAGGAGGGAAGTCGGGCTGCTCAGGCCCGAGTGAGGGAGAAGCGTGTTGGAGCCGGCGGTGTGGGAGTTGCCTCTTCTCTTTTTTCTTTACGCCGTTCTTTGACAGTAGTTCCCTTCTTTTTACTCTTATTGTTCTTAGTTATTGGTAGCCTATAGTATTGTATAGGAAAAGAAAATGGAATATAAATGTACCAATGTGTATTTTTCTGTTACTGTAGTTGAAGTGACTCAGGAAAAAAGTCGAAAGTATGCCTGTCCAAAGGCAAATGAACTGGTCAGCCCAAATCCATATCGTCCCTTACTAATGTGAACAGAAAACAAAACTGTGAACCTCATATGAAGGGAACAGGTTTGCCAGATACAAACCCCAAATGTTATTTTTATTAAACATCTAAACTTTTTTTGTGTGTGTGAAATACTCTTCTTCATTCTGAAAGGCATTGTAAAAACATCATCTCCTTCCCCAGATGTACTGAGCGTTAAGCACATTCCCTCCTGAGGGAACCTGTTTCGGCTGATCCCGTTTTGGCTGGCGGCCCTCAAGCTGACACTCCCCCAGGACCTGTGTCTAGGACAGAGGGAGAGCTGATGGGATAATGAGCCCTGTCCATTCCACATCCTTCCCCTCTGCCAGCATTTTCTGAGCCCCCACGCATGAGGTTCTCCTGGTGCTGGAGACCCGGTGTGCAGGAGAATGGTCTACGTCCCCAAGGGACAGGCAGGCCCCCAAGGGTTTTCCCCTCAGGCTCACTTCCAGAGACTTCAGAACCTCGTCTCACCTGACAGCACACCCCTCCAGCAGCAGGTCTCCTCCTGCCTCTGACCGCCTTGCCTTTACTGTAGCTCCCGGGAAGCAGTGTTAATCCTGCGCTCAGGTTGTGCTCCTGGAGTTCTTCTGGCTCCATCAGGAGGAAGTTTATTCCCGTAGATGGGTAGCTGCCGAGTCTGCTATTCTCGTCTTCAGCGAGGGACTCTTGGGTCCCTTTTGCAGGCTTGATGGGGCCCCGGGGGTGGCAGTCTCTTTCAGGCATGCTCAGTTGGTGTACTTCGATCTTAATTTTATGCTTTTTCATTATGGGAAAACTTTCCATAATTCTGTTTGCCTGCAAAATTATAGTGGCCAACTGTGGTTATTGATGAAGCCTTATTTTGTTAAGCAGTTTATATCTTCTAATCTTATTAAGCTGCTGTTTATTGGGCTTTATCTGGGGCTTTTTCTGCAGTATGGCCCATTTAGAAAGATTTCTAATATGTGGGGTTTTCTTTAGAGTATGCTAGCACTCAGTCAAGTTATATACTAAATTAGTAATCTTTTTTTTTTCTTAACAGATGCAGCAGCTTTTCTATGAGAATTATGAACAGAACAAAAAGGGGTACATTAGAGATCTCCATAACAGTAAAATTCACCGAGCCATCACATTGCACCCCAACAAAAACCCGCCCTACCAGTACAGACTCCACAGCTACATGCTCAGCCGCAAAATAGCCGAACTTCGTCATCGCACAATACAGCTCCACCGAGAAATCGTCCTGATGAGCAAATACAGCAACACCGAGGTTCATAAAGAAGACCTCCAGCTGGGAATTCCTCCTTCCTTTATGAGGTTTCAGGCCCGCCAACGAGAGGAGATTCTGGAATGGGAGTTTCTGACTGGGAAATACTTGTATTCAGCAGCTGATGGCCAGCCCCCTCGAAGGGGCATGGACTCTGCTCAGAGGGAAGCCTTGGACGACATTGTCATGCAGGTCATGGAGATGATCAACGCCAACGCCAAGACCAGAGGGCGCATCATCGACTTCAAGGAGATCCAGTACGGCTACCGTCGGGTGAACCCCATGTATGGGGCCGAGTACATCCTGGACCTGCTGCTTCTGTACAAAAAGCACAAAGGGAAGAAGATGACGGTTCCCGTGAGGAGGCATGCATATTTACAGCAGACTTTCAGCAAGATCCAGTTTGTGGAACATGAGGCATTGGACGCAAAGGAATTGGCCAAGAAAATCAATCAAGAGTCTGGATCCTTGTCCTTTCTCTCGAATTCCCTGAAGAAGCTTGTCCCCTTTCAGCTCCCTGGGTCGAAGAATGAGCACAAAGAACCCAAAGATAAAAAGATAAATATACTGATTCCTTTGTCTGGACGTTTTGATATGTTTGTGAGATTTATGGGAAACTTTGAGAAGACGTGTCTTATCCCCAATCAGAATGTCAAGCTTGTCGTTCTGCTTTTCAATTCCGACTCCAACCCCGACAAGGCCAAACAAGTTGAACTGATGAGAGATTACCGCATTAAGTATCCCAAAGCTGACATGCAGATTTTGCCTGTGTCTGGAGAGTTTTCAAGAGCTCTAGCCCTGGAAGTCGGATCTTCCCAGTTTAATAATGAGTCTTTGCTCTTCTTCTGCGATGTTGACCTCGTGTTTACTACAGAATTCCTTCAGCGATGCCGAGCAAATACAGTTCTGGGCCAACAGATATATTTCCCAATCATCTTTAGCCAGTATGACCCAAAGATTGTTTATAGTGGGAAAGTTCCCAGTGACAACCATTTTGCCTTTACTCAAAAAACTGGCTTCTGGAGAAACTATGGGTTTGGCATCACTTGTATTTATAAGGGAGATCTTGTCCGAGTGGGCGGCTTTGATGTTTCCATCCAAGGCTGGGGGCTGGAGGATGTGGACCTTTTCAACAAGGTTGTCCAGGCAGGTTTGAAGACATTTAGGAGCCAAGAGGTAGGAGTAGTCCATGTCCACCATCCTGTCTTCTGTGATCCCAATCTTGATCCCAAACAGTACAAGATGTGCTTGGGGTCCAAAGCATCAACGTATGGATCTACACAGCAGTTGGCTGAAATGTGGTTGGAAAAAAATGATCCAAGTTACAGCAAAAGCAGCAATAACGGCTCAGTGAGGACAGCCTAATGTCCAGCTCTGCTGGAAAAGACGTTTTTAATTATCTAATTTATTTTTCAAAAAATTTTTGTATGATCAGTTTTTGAAGTCCATACAAGGATATATTTTACAAGTGGTTTTATTACATAGGACTCCTTTAAGATTGAGCTTTTTGAACAAGAATGTGATCAATGTTTGCCTTTGAACACATCTTCTTGCTGAACATTATATAGCAGACCTGCTTAATTTTGACTTGAAATGTACCTGATGAACAAAACTGTTTTTATATATATTTTCCTTTCAGACCCCTTTGCTACATCCTATGACAGAAAACATGGAACCTGCAAAGTATTATTGTAACAAAACACTGTAACTCTGGTACATGTTTTGTTATGACTGTTAACATTCACAGATTCTACCTTTTGTCTTTTTTACAACAATTTTTTTTTAAAAAGCCATTTCATGTTCCAGTTGTAAGATAAGGAAATATAATAATAACTGTATCATCATCTTCAGGACAGCTTTCCAAAGTTGATCATTTGCCCCAAACTAGACTCTGCTCATCACGGTCTTGTAGGTTCTCAAAAAGCAAGAAGAGTCAGGAAAGCACAGTGAGATGCGTGGCCGTTCTTGTTGCAATTCATTTGGCCTAAGTGGACCTGGCATTAAATTTCAAGAAGGATTTGATATTTTTTCTTTCTGACCCTTCTCCTTAAAGGGTAAAATATTAATGTTTAGAATGACAAAGAAGAATTATTGTAATAAACCTAATGTACGCAAGCTAAAACAAAAACATACACCCCCTAATGAAAACATTGGGGGAAAGTGTATTTGGTTTTGTCCATTTCATCCTGTCTGTGTGATTTTTGGTAGAGATGGTTTTCATTCTTTAATTGCTGTTTTTTATCCTTTTGTATCTGAGATACCTTTAATTTATTTAATATCCATTGTTCAGAGCTCTGCCATTTCTTGAGTACCCGTTAGTTATTAGTATTTATGTGTATCAGGAGTGTTTTAGTATGTTTTATTTGCAGTAAACCGATCTCCAAAGATTTCCTTTTGAAAACGCTTCCCCCCCTCCCTTTAATTTTTACATTCCTTACTGTTTTACTAAATATTAAGTGTTCTTTGACAATTTTGGTGCTCACGTGTTTTGGGGACAAAAGTAAAATGAATCTGTCATTATACCGGAAAGTTTGTTTTAAACTCACAGATCAAATGTGCCTTAATAAATTTTTTTTTTTCATTTAGATTTCAAACGGTGATAGACTTGCCATTTTAATATATGTCATTGGAGATCTGCTTATTTGTAAATAGCGTATTGCTCATTTGGAAAAATAAACCAGTGAACAATATTTTTCTATTGTACTTTTCAGGACCATTTTGTCTCATTATTCCTGTTTTAGCTGAAGAATTGTATTACATTTGGACAGTAAAAAACTTAAAGCACGGATTCAAAAAGGTTTTCAGTTTATTTGAGGGAAATATTTCTTTGGGCTACAGTTGGAAGTGAAATGAAACTAACTTTCAAGTGTCTCCTCCTCTATTTTTTTGTAAAACGAACTCATCTTTTGTTTGCTTTTCCCCAGCTTACTGCCTCCGTGTTCTCTGAGACAGAGGTCTTCACACCAGGTCCGGGCTCTGTCTGGAAGACACAAATGTACCTTCCCAGGCCCCACAGAATCTGCATTTTAACAAATGCCCCACCTGACGCTGTGTGCGCACAAACGTTCTCAGGGTTTCGGGATCACTCTAGCTAGAGGCTAAGTGGCATCCGGTTGCTTTATAATCCAAGAATCAAAAAAAGCGAGATCTTTGATGCCAAGGTAGCAACCTTTCATGGATGAGAACTACACTCCCTGGATAGGTATTTACAGAGTAATGACAGTTAAGTCGCAGCATAATGACATTGTGCTCACAGAAAGAAATTGCTGTAATTCAGCCTAATTGCCATTTACTCTGTGGATGTGTTTAGTTTTTTCTTGGAAAAAAGTAGAGACAATTTTATTCTTCAATAAGGAAGAGCATAATAAGCCTCTTGATGACAAAGTGATTTAAATTCTCTTCTATTTATCCTAATAGTGAACTGTAAGGATTTGGGATTGTGCATGAGTGACAGCTCTGTCGTGCTTCGTGTCTGTCCAGCATCTTGGTGACCCTTGATTAAACTCACCATTCGCTTCCCTGCTCCCACTCCGCTCAGCGCCACCTCCCGTCAAGGCTCAGTCTCCAGAGATGCAGCTGGAACCTTGCTCCGCTCCTGTCCTGGCAGGGCCGTGCCCTGACTCTGCACTCTGGCCTCCAGGGTCCACCCCTCCCAGCCATTGCTTGGTCCCTCTAGTGCTCCCGTTTTGCCCTGAGAGTGGACTTGAACATCCCACTGGCACCTGGGGGCCCTCCTCAGCCCAACCACTGTCCCCTCATCTGTCATCCCCGACTCTACTGGGCACCTCCCCGGCCGTGCTGGGCTCCAGGTTGTGGGGTGTCCATCTCCACTGCTCGGGCCTGGGCTTTCCCTCCAGCTGGCCAGCCCGACTGTGCTCCAGGACACAGCTGGAGCACCCCACTGTCCACTCTCATGCCATCCTGGGCCCTTCCTGTGCACATGTGACACAGTGGACTAATTCCATGACCATGTGGTGGTGTTCCCTCACCAGAGTGCCTCGAGGGCAGGCCATGAGTCTCCTGGCACCCCATGGCATCCCTTGGCATGTTGGGAACCACAGTGCCCTGCTCGCTCCCGGGCCAGCCCCCCTGTGCACCCCTCCCAGAGGAATACTTCTGCCCCTGGATGGGCTGAGACATCTCCCCTTAAACAAAACTTTCTATGTATACCTCAGCATACATTATTTTTCATCCAGAAATAAGAAAATGGAATGGTCCATAACCCCACACACCAGACAACCAGTGTCAACAATATTTAAAAATTGAGACTAGTCCGTGGATGTAGTTGAAAAGGGAGAGGCGACCACAGCGCACAGGGTCATGGAAGTGAAAACTCCCTCCTCTCTCCAAGCGTGCAGCCTCAGGCCTCCCCACGAGAGACTACCAAGTCTGTGCGTCAGGCTCAGGAAGAGGTGTGTGCTGTGTGTGTGAGTTTTATGTAGACTAGCATAGGTAGCAGTTTCAAAATGTATGCACACAAACGAGAGGAGCCTCGTGCTCGCCTGGGCACAGGGACCTGGGCGGGGAGCGCCTGCTGAGGAGCCACAGGGCAGGGGGATGGGGCTCTCCATGGACCCTGAGGAGGAGTGTGGGGAGGGGAGGGCTGGTGGGCTTCCCCAGCCTTGTGGTTGGACGTGCAGGAGCCCTGCCTGGAATGGGACCAGAATAGCCTTGTCTTGTGGCAGCGCTGGCAGACAAAGGGACTGCACCTCGCTTCTAGAGGACAGGTCACCTTCCCAAGCACTGTTATTTGGGGCCAGGGCGAGACCAGAGCATGGCTGTGGGCCACAGCATCCTGAGACCCTCATGTTAGGAGACAAGGGCCACATGTTGTGTTGCCAGTCAGGAGACAATCTGTCTCGGCTGCAAAAGCAGGCAGGCCAGGATGTGAGAAGGGCGTGGTGCTGGGAACCCACAGTGCGGGAGGCGCCCCCTCCCGCCCCCCGGCCTCAAGGCCCCGTGTCTGCCCACCGATCTCCATGATCGTGCAATCACGTTCTGGAGCCTTGCGGGCAGTCTGCTGAGCCTCCTTCCTGTCCTTGCGCGTCCTCACCACATCCTCTTTTACAAAGGCCTTGAAGCCCAGGCCCTGACTCAGCCCAGGAGTAGACGTGGGGTTTCTTTTTCCCAGCCGGCAGATACAGAGGGTGTGGCGGATAGGCGCCTTTGCCCCTAGCCGGCTTGGAGCGCTCGCTCGCCTTTTGTCCTGGTGTTGGACCCGAGCTAAATGACAGTCACGTTTTGCCTCCTTCCCATGCCCTTAACAGATCACCTGGAGGGCCGGGTGCTCTCTGCAGCCGCCTTTGTTTATTACCCTTGTTCACAGAGTCAAATGTACGTGCCCGTGAGCCGCAGTCACCACACTCCGTCTCGTCTTATGAGGAGCCGTCCTCCGGCTGCAGGGCCCTGCTTTTTAAGAGCCATCCTCCAGGAAGGTGACAAACCTGCAAGGACGCTTGCCTGCTTCACTGTTCGCCAGCAACAGAGGGGTCCCACCAGACTCCACGTGTCAAAAGTTTCCTCTTCTCTCTTGTCGGGGAAGGAACCAAGGGCCAGCCCTCCCCACGCAGCACAGTCGCCCGCCCTGGGGAATTAGGCTGCATTACTGCTGTATAAATTGCTATAATCTCTGGTGCAAAGGAGCTTATGTGCTTTGGTGGCTGGGGAGCTTGCTGGGGGGTCTGTGGGCTAAAGGGCTGCAGAGGGCTGATGCCTGCCTCGGTGGGTCCCACGGTGCTTTCCCGCCCCTCAAAAGATGTCCCTTTCTGTTCCACTTGAAAATGCTCGCACCACGTCCGCTTACTGTGACTTGTTATGGACGCAATGGAAACATAGAGTTACAATGCAGTAGATCAAATTACAGCAACTCATTTTGAATGACTTCCAGTAGAAAGAATATGCTTCACAGTTTGGTTTTGTGCAGGAGTGTAGGAGTGAGGGGGTGGGTGTAGATCTTCAACCGGAAACCATGAGGCCCACCAGATTAGGGGCTGGCTTGTCCTGGGTGCAGTGTTAGATAGTTTTTAATGTGTTTAATTTACTGTTAATTATATTTCAGTTATAAGGGTCTTCATTTCTTACTAATACAGACAGAAATGAAATTGTGTCCTTTAAAGAACATTCTAGCTACACTTTCTTTAAAATGGTCTGAGTAGTCAGTTATGCCTGATTACTTTTTAATGAGAAAATGTAATAAGAAATGGATCAAATCAAAGATAACAAAAATTAAACAAGCTCCGGAATCTCCTTATATGAAGCTGGCGTGTCTGTAATGAGCTGCTCTCCATTGAGCGGTCCCTCGTGGTTAGGCTGGCGACACTCCTTCCCCAGGCTGCCACCTCCTCGTCCCTTTTGCCAACTGGCTGCATCTCCTCATGCTGGTCAAGCCTCGGCCGCGGGCACACGTACCTTGTTTCTCCACAGACATTCCCATCTGAGAAAGAAAAAAAAATGATGCCAGCCAAACCTCAAGGTGACCTTCAAATTCATTGATTGTTAATGAAGTTTGGGTCAGTCTTTAGGCAAACAACGGTTTACTTCTTGTCACAGAACTAAAGAGCAGTTTCACTCATGTGCTCAAAATCCTGAGGTCTGAAGCTAGAAAGGAGCTGTTTCTACGGGTGCACTTCCAAATGACCCCATCGGTGTGGGGAAGGACACGTCTTTTAAATGAATTCTGTTTCTTCCATCGTAAATAACAATGTAACCACAGTACACAAAGATGCATATATAAGGAAGTAGAGAAGGGGAAGGAAAGACACAGTCCCTTCCTCTCTGCCACCTTGTTCCCATTCTGGTAGATTCCCTGGGGGGTTGCACGCATGTGTAGCTGCACGTGGTGGTTACATGCAATTTGACATCTTGCTCTGTTTTTTCCCTTTGCTTAAAACATTGGCACTTGAGATCACCCTAAAGGCCGCCTTCTCTCCTAGAGTTGCGGATTTCCCTAATAACTGACCACCTCCAGTGCCCCGTGGCTGCACTGTTAGTCACACGACAAGAGCATCTTCTGCACGTCACCCTTTTCATACTTCGGATCATCCACTTCTGGGCCGAGGGACTTGGGAATTTGGCCATTTCTGGTATAACGCTAAGTCATCTGTGATTTTATTTGGTCAACGTTGACATTTTATACCTACTAGCAATTCTAATAAAATCTTTTAAAAATAAACCTTAACAACGAAATGACGTTCAAGAAATACTGTGGGAGAATGGCAGCCAGTGTCTGGCTTGCGTCACCCTGTGAAAGCGGCAACTCCACAAACCCCACACTGTGACTGCGAGACTTGAGTCACAGCAAAGTGAGAAAAAGGCAGACAGACTTAGTGATGACTCAGGGAGCCAGGAAAGACAAGTTCCAGGCAGAGGGCCTCTGTGGAAAGAGGTACACTCCGCTCAGCTGGGAGAGGGGCGGCTCAAGATTAGGGTGGCTCTTTCCGGACCCAGCAAGGTGGCAGCGAGGCTGCGCGTGGGGTGGACGTGACCAGGAGGCACCAAGCCGCCCCTGGGGAGCCAGGATGACTTTCTGGTGGGGAGAGTGTCCATTTGCAAGCAGATGAGAATTGATTTTGATGTTCAAAGACGAAACTACTGGGGCGGGTGTGGTGCCTCATACTTGTAATCCTAGCACTCTGGGAGGCTGAGGTGGGAGGATTGCTTGAAGCCAGGAGTTCAAGTCCAGCCTGAGCAAGAGCAAGACCCCAATCTCCATGAAAAATAGAAAAGTTAGCTGGGCATGGTGGTGCATGCCTGTAGTCCCGGCTACTGGGGAGGCTGAGGTGTTCCC